CATCCAATTCGGAGAGTGCATCATTCCACCCGAAAAGTTCGCGCCAGCCCAACGCTAAAGATGGCATTTTAGGCCCCAAAAAAGTCCAGAATGGCCGAAATAATATCGTCGATGATCACGAAGTGATTTATAGTTTTAATGTAAACATACAATGTGTGAATTTCGTCAAATTCGGAGACTGCTTAATTCCAACCGAAAAGTTTGCGCCACCTCAAAACCAAAAAAACGACATTTTGGGCCCCGAATAGTCCCGAATGGCGGAAATAACGTCGTCGATGATCACTCAGTGATTTATATTTTCAGCATATATATACAATGTGCGAATTTCGTCCAATTTGGAGACTACATTATTTCGTCTAAAAAGTTCGTGCGCCAGCCCAAAACCGAAAAATGAAATTTTAGGCCCCTAAACAGTCCCGAAATACCAAAATAACATCGTCAGTGATCATAAATTGATTTATATTTTTACCAAACACATACAATGTGCGAATTTCGTCCAATTCGGAGACTACATCATTCAAACCGAAAGTTCGGGCACGAGTCCAAAGCCGAAAAACGAAATTTTGAACCCCTAAACAGTCCCGCATTACCGAAATAACTTCGTCGGTGGTGTCAATGTGATCTATAGTTTTTGCACATAAATATAATGATCGAAGTTCGTTCATTTTGGAGACTGCCTCATTCCACCCAAAAAGTTCGCGTGCCAGCCAAAAACCAAAAATGATAATTTGGACCCCTAAAAAGTCCTGAATGGCCTAAATAACATAGTCAATGATCACGAAGTGATTTATAGTTTTAGAATATACATATATATATATATATATATATATATATATATATATATATATATATATATATAATGTGCGAATTTCTTCTAATTCGGAGACTGCATCATTCCACCCAAAAAGTTCGTGCGCCAACCTAAAACCGAAAACGACATTTTGATGCCCTAAACAGTCCCGAATTGCCGAAATAATATCGGCGGTTATCACAAAGCGATTTTTAGTTTTAGCATATACATACAATGTGCGAATTTCTTCCAATTCGGAAACTGCATCATTCCACTCGAAAAGTTCGTGCACGAGCCCAAATTCGAAAAACGACATTTAGAGCCCCTAAACAATCCCAAATGGCCGAAATAACATCATCGTTTCTCATTAAGTGATTTATAGTTTTAGCATATACATACAATGAGCGAATTTCGTCCAATTCAGAGACTGCATCATTCCACCCGAAAAATAAAAGTGTCATCCCAAAACCGAAAACGACATTTTGATCCCTAAACTGCCCCGAATAGCGGAAATAACATCATGGATGATCACAAATAGATTTATAGTTTTAGCATATACATACAATGTGAGAATTTCGTCTAATTTGGAGACTGATTCATTCCACCTAAAAAGTTCACGCGGTTGCCCAAAACCGAAAAATGACATTTTTAGCCCGTAAACAGTCCTGAATGGCCGAAATAACATTGATGGTGATCACTATGTGATTTATTGTTTTTACGTATACGTACAATGTGCGCATTTCGTCCAATACGAAGACTGCATCATTCCACCTGAAAAGTTCGCGCGCCAGCCTAAAGCCGAAAAACAAAATTTTGAGCGCCTAAACAGTCCCGAATGGCCGAAATAACATCGTTGGTGCTCATTAAGTGAGCTATACTTTTAGCTTATACATAAAATGTGTGAATTTCGACCAATTCGGAGACTGCATCATTCCCCCCGGAAAATTTGCGTGCCAACCCAAATCCAAAAAACAATATTTTAGGCCCTTAAACAATCCCGAATTGCCGAAATAACATCGTTGGTGATCACGAAGTGATTTATAGTTTTAACATATACATACAATGTGCAAATTTCCTCGAATTCGGAGAGTGCTTCATTCCACCTGAAAAGTTCGCGCGCGAGCCCAAAACCGAAAAACGACATTTTTAGCCCTTAAATAGTCCCGAATGGCCGAAATAACATCGTCGGTTATCACAAGGTGATTTATAGTTTTAGCATATACATACAATGTGCGAATTTCGTCCAATTCGATGACTGCATCATTCCACCCAAAAAGTTTGTGCGCGAGCCCCCAAAACCGAAAAACGACATTTAAATCCCCAAACAGTCTCGAATGGCGGAAATAATATCGTCAGTGATCACGAAGTGATTTATAGTTGTTGCATAAACATACAATGTGTGAATTTCGTCCAATTCGGAGACTGCTTCATTCCACCCGAAAAGTTTGCGCGCTACCCCAAAACCAAAAAAACGACATTTTGGGCCCCTAAACAGTCCCGAATGGCGAAAATAACATTGTCGGTGATCACAAAGTGATTTATAGTTTCGAAATATATATATATATATATACAATGTTTAAATTTCATGCAATTCCGAGACTTCATCATTCCACCCGAAAAGTTCGCGCTCTAGCCTAAAACTGAAAAATTACATTTTGGGCCCCTTAACAGTCCCAAAGTCGGTGATCACAAAGTCGGTCATCCAATTTGGAGACTGCATCATTCCACCGAAAAGTTCGCGCCAGCCCTACGCTAAAGATGACATTTTAGGCCCCAAAATAGTCCAGAATGGCCGAAATAACATCGTCGATGGTCAGGAAGTGATTTATAGTTTTAACATATACATACAATGTGTGAATTTCGTCCAATTCGGAGACTACTTCATTCCACCCGAAAAGTTTGCACGCCACCCCAAAGCCAAAAAATGACATTTTGGGCCCTAAACAGTCCCGAGTGGCGGAAATAAAGCCGTCGGTGATCATTCAGTGATTTATAGTTCCGGCATATACATACAATGTACGAATTTCGTCCAATTTGGAGACTGCATCATTCCACCCAAAAAGTTCGTGCGCCAGCCCAAAACCAAAAAATGACATTTTGGGCCCTTAAACAGTCCCGAAAGACCAAAATAACATTGTTAGTGATCATAGATTGATTTATATTGTTAGCACACACATACAATGTGCGAATTTCGTCCAATTCGGAGACTGCATCATTCAACCCGAAAAGTTCGAGCGCGAGCCCAAAACCGAAAAACGAAATTTTGAACCCCTAAACAGTCCCGAATGAACGAAATAACTTCGTCGCTGGTGTCGAAGCGATCTATAGTTTTTGCATATAAATACAATGATCGAAGTTCGTTCATTTTGGAGGCTGCCTCATTCCACCCAAAAAGTTCGCATGCCAGCCCAAAACCGAAAATGACAATTTGAGCCCCTAAAAAGTCCCGAATGGCCTAAATAACATCGTAGATAATCACAGAGTGATTTATAGTTTTAGAATATACATATAATGTGCGAATTTAGTCTAAATCGGAGACTGGATCATTCCACCAGAAAAGTTCGTGCGCCAGCCTAAAATCGAAAACGAGATATTGATGCCCTAAACAGCCCCGAATGGCCGAAATAACATCGTCGGTGCTCACTAAGTGATTTATTGTTTTAGCATATACATATAATGTGCGAATTTCGTCAAATTCAGAGACTGCATCATTCCACCTGAAAAGTTTGCGCGTCTGCCCAAAACCTCAAATGAAATTTTGGGCCCCTAAAAAGTCTCGAATGGCTGAAATAACATCGTTGATGATCACGAAGTCACTTATAGTTTTAGCATATACATACAATGTGCAAATTCCGTCCAATTCGGAGACTGCATCATTCCACACGAAAAGTTCGCGTGCTAGCCCAAAACGAAAAAACAAAATTTTGAGCCCCTAAATAGTTCCGAATGGCCAAAATAACATCGTCGGTGCTCACTAAGTGATTTATTGTTTTATCATATACACACAATATGCGAATTTCGTCCAATTCGGAGACTGCATCATTCCACCAGAAAAAATTTTGCGTGCAAGCCCAGAACCGAAAAACGACATTTTTAGCCCCTAAACAGTCCCGAATGGCCAAAATAACATCTTCGGTGATCCCTAAGTGATTTATAGTTTTAGAATATACATACAATGTGCGAATTTCAACCAATTCAGACTGCATCATTCCATCCGAAAAGTTTGGTCGCCAGCCCAAAACCAAAAAATGACATCTTAGGACCCTAAACAGTCCCGAATGGCCGATATAACATCGTCGGTGATCACAAAGTGATTTATAGTTTTAGCATATACATATAATGTGTGAACTTCTTCCAATTCGGAGACTGCATCATTCCACCCGAAAAGTTCACGCCAAATAACCAAATTCGTTTCTTGTATTCCTATTAATGTCAGTTTGTTATCATGCCTTAACTTCCTTACCCAATAAAGTTTGTGTTTTTCTCCCATTCCCCGAATATTGATAGACATTATCTTCATTGATCAACGGCCTGCTCTCCATCCATCCCCATGATTTCCGCCAAGATTTCATTTCCTCCATTTATCTCAAATCCGACGATACGACATACTTCAGCAGTTTTTTCAATTTCTGAGATACGAGGAATGATTGGGGGTCAAGCAATTTGAGTTGGGCAAGGCACGATTTGAGGGGTACTATTGAGATCTATGGAGGAGGATTTGCGCGAAGCAATATCTGGAACATCCTGGTTTACCTGATCATAACAAGATTCTACATACAATGACTATGCATTTGATTTTGACTATATAACAATCAACTAATTAAGTTTAAGTTTCGGGATTTATTACATTGTCAACAATCAAGCCTAGTAGCAGTCAAACTTAGAGTCTCAATAGTTTGAATGTTTGATGTCAAATTTATTACTTACATAAACATTCTTTTTTTATATTAAAAAAAAAAACATTATTATAAATCATTAATGGAACTTATCTTACAGTATCTAATTTATTCTTAATTGTGACTATTCAGAGAATATGATGTATAAAATTAACTTTAATAGTTTGTACTTTGTATACATCAAAAACAGAAATTGCATTCAATTCCAAAAACAAAGTATATTTCTACATAATTTTCCAAAAATGAAACAATAGTTTCATGGAAAATTGAAAAAAGAACAAAATTCATAGGTATTATATGAGTAAATAAACTGATCATCGGGAGCAAACTTGCTCTTCCTCAATGGTGTCTAACAATGGCTTCTTTGATCTACACATCGAAGCCCGACGTTTAAACTCAAAGGACGACACTTCTTCTTCAATATCATCCAGTTTCATACTCGGTGGGGTTGACACGTTTTCTGGAGCAATCCTTCCAATCTTTTTAGCAGATAAAAAAAGAGAACCTAAGTCAGTACTGGTGACAACTGAGTGAACTCGTTTCATTGGAAACATGACATATACACATGCAAATTCAAGGTCTTCATCTGCATTCATGGCAGAAAACCGTGCCCCAATGCGAAGAGATTTGGAGTTGACAACAAACGAGTTCGGTGATTCCATCATCAGTTCAGCCACTTTGATTGGTTCTTGAAACTTATGGATTTCCCCGTTGGGAAAAATTACTTTTGTAGCCTTTGAGTACTTCCCGTTTCCATGCATTAAGGAACATGAAACGTAGTTACCCATTTGATGATATCAAAGCAACAAGATGATACGAATTTTTTGTTGAGTTGAGATGAGGAAGAAAGGTGAAGGAGGAGTGTGGACTTTATATAAGAGATTAGGTAATAAATTAATATTTTAGCAAATAAAAAAGAGAAAGACAAACACGAAACATGACAGTTGAGGATGTGGGATGAGTTGACATATGATTGGGTCTCAAACCGCGTCCCGGTTTGGATTAAAAAAAGGAAATGTTATGGTTATAGATATAGATTTTAATAACAATACCAAAAATATGACAAAATCTTTAAAAAAATATGGTAACAATTCTTAAGTTCTGTAAGTTCGTCGTATTATTATTGTTATTATTATGTCAACTTAGTAATTTAAAAACAAAACACAAGACAAATTGACAAAGTGGTAACTATATTTTTTGTATATTTTTAGATATTTATGTAAAAACTTTAAACAATAAAAAGAACATTATAATGCAAAATTTGGAATCATGACCTTCCCTAGATGATTTACATTTGTTTATTGGATAAATATTAGACAAAAATTATGTAAACTATATGATATAAACATACAAAATTTCATATAACTCTTCTGTTTAACCATATAATTTATAGAGTAAATCCAAAATTTAGCGCATATGTTTCACTCAAAATCTAATGTTCCGTCAAAATTTTGAAAGCGTATTAATCTTTTACTTAAGTTTATGTTTCGTTGTTGATACTGTCTTTGTGTTTTACATGGGCCGTGGAGTTATATTTGCAACGAAATACAAGGATACAATTGTTCAAATTTTAGACTGAACTTACGATTTTGAGTAAAACAGAGGGTCCAAATTTGTAATAAATTATAAAATTTAAAAAAAAAAAAATTAAAATTTAGTATTATTTTTGTAACCATTTTCCTTTATATTATGGCTTAGTTAGTTTGTTAGAACCACTGGTTGTGTTTGTTATGATTTGCAATTTTTAGATATCTTGAAAAGATGTTTTATTTATCTTAAGATACGTGTAATATCATATTTTAAAATGTATTTTACCCAAACGAATATCTTACATGTTCATGGGGTAATTAAGGAACTATATTGTTCCATATTCACTTTAGGACATAGCCAAGTTTGATAAATTTAGAAGACACTACGAATACATATTTATAAATAAAAACGAAGATCTTACAAGTAGTAAATCGTAAGTTCATGATTATATCAATCATAAAATAAAAAATATTGAATTTGGTTGTTAAGCAGTGGCTTACAAGAATAAAAAACCATCATTATTATATAAAAGGGTTTTCTTCGTTTGGACTCAAAACACAATAAATTTGGTTGGTTTTTGTCCACTTCAATGGTGGGGGAATAATTCGGTAAAGTATCAAAAAACCTTAAAATTTTTAAATCTGGTTATGTTGAGATAGTTTTTTCAAATAAATAAATAATACAAGTTCATATATTTGATAGAAGAGCCTTTGACATTTTCTTGTGTAATTAAGTTTTTTAATTATTAAAATATATAACATTATATGATTTTTTTAAGACTTGTCTATTTTTTGGAATGAAAGAATTTCAATAAATAAAACAAGTAAGACATAAAAAAAAACTCATTACAAATAAAGAGAAGTTATAACTAGGTTTTGCAACCAATAAACCCAACAACTTAATTTTTTTTTATGCCTATTAAAAATCTAAAAAATGATTTGTCTATTAAATCTACTACATCATCAAAATAACGGATTTATTAGGTGTGCTTGTCGAAAAAATAAATAAATTCCTAAAATTCTAAAGACACTGGAAAGTAGTTAATATGTAACAACGTGAAAATTTTAAAACAATTTTTTATTTTAAAACAAACATAATTCACATAATTCATTTCAAAAACCCAAGTGTCACATGTCATCTCAAATAAACGTATTCCAGAATCTCAAAATCCATAATTCTCCATCAGTGTGTACAAATCATGTCGACGCCTTCATGCGATCCTCACCGGTACCAGAAACACATCATACAAAACATTGTAAACACACTACTAGAAACTTGAGTTTCAGCTACGGATTTAGATAGGGATTTATTCCGTAGCAAAATTTTGGCTTATAGAGAGGGAATTACGAGAGATCTACGATGGTTTAAACAAGTATTTTATTTATTCAACATATAGCGTATTAGAGAGGGTTTAGCGAGGGATAAGTTACGGATCTTACAAGTCTTTATCGAGGCGCCCTTATTCGTCGGGAATCGGTGGAAAACGAAGGCATTTGGCGAGGGTTCAACGAGGGAAAAAATCGTCGACTTTTTATCCATCTGGTATGTATTTAGCGAGAGAATGCCGACGGAGCATACACACATTATGTTTTTTTAATTGAAGATCTCTCGCTGAAATTGACGAATCCAATTCCAGTTTCACGAAGTTTGTGTAAGTCTCCTTCCCTCCCAAATCTGCTTTATCACTCCAATTGAACACGAAGTTTGTGTAAGTTTGACTCTCGAGTTGCAGCTTAACCTAATCTCACCATCTTCGTTCAAACAGATGACGACACCATGGATCATTGCAGCTTCCGATTCCGACAGCCTCCACATTTTTGAAATCTAAAATTATTCTTCCTTAACTTCCGATTCAGGTAAACCTCTTCATTTTATTTGCTTTAGTCATATATTAGGTTAGGTTTGGTTCAATTGCACAATATATTACGTTAGGGTTTAATTTCTCCATTTTTTTTACTTTTTCAATCGTCATTCCTCTTATATCGATTGCATCTATATTAGAATAGATACTTAGAATTAGAACTTGATATAGTGCTTGATTGGTTGCTTTAGTCCTATATAAGCCTGGTAGCATAAGTTTTGTGCATCAAAGCTTCACCCTGAAACTCTCCTGTCATCTCTGTACATGCATCCATATGCGCTGCAACAAGCCCAACAGCACCAATTTCATAGGCAATCATAGTAAACTGATAAATCCTCCAATTCGTGTCAGCTGTTTTCACCTGTGTAATATGCCTAAATGCAAGTCAAAATAAGTTTACTGATCAAGTAAAAAAACATTATATAGAATGGCCTAAAGTGATCAAGGTCTATGGGATTTTGAAATAGTGGTGGAGATAAATTCTTATTACTAGTATGTCTATGGAGAACTTTTTTTAAGGTGGGACACCTAGGATCCCTGTCACAAGATCAAACAGGCTGTCAATAGTAAGTTGTCACTATTGTTCTCTGATAGCTCCTAGACTACTCCTGAACCAATTAAATGAGAAGAACTCCAAAACAAATTAATGGAACAGTGACAAATGAATGAAAAACATTGAATATTCAAATAGATAGCCCCATATTCGAGAGAGGGGAATTCTCCATGTTCTAGAAGAATTTTACAATGGTTTTCTGCGTACCCAAAAGGAACAAATGACCACCTATAAATAATCACTAACAGAGGAAACAAACAAAAGATCCTTCATGACAAAAGGATATTGCTCCCCCATTCAAAAAGCTAAACGCACAGAGATAATGGCACGAACAACTAACTAACTAATAAAAAGACAGAATTACCCTCCTGCTCCCCACTAACAAACAAAATCATTTCTTTGGGATATTCTTCCGTTTGTTCCTTTGGTAAACTTTCAAGGGTTGGGTGTTATCATTCTCATGGCTTTATTGTGTTATGTGGAGACTTTGTAACGAGGTTGAATTGAAGAAAAAAAAGATAAATATAAAAGAAAGAAAGATGATAGTTAAATGTATGAGAGGTAAAAATGTAAAACATACAGCAGGGGTTTTTGACATTCTTTGAAAATGGGGAAGACTTCTATCTATGAATCCGTTTGGAGCTCGTTGACCTCCTACTGATTTGTTGACCAACACATGCAATCATTTGACTTATGTTGATTGTTTGGAAAAGAAATTAATTCTATTGAATTTGTTGTTCATAGAGTTATGGAAGATATTAGATTGAAGTTATTTGGTCTTAAATTTGGTTATTTGGGGCTGAATATAGAGATTTATAAAAGTTGGAACATCCCAATCAAAAATGTCAATGGTTCTAATGGGGATTGATTTGAATTGTTTTTGGTTAAAAGGAAGTGCTGGCAGGTTTGCTGTCGTGGTTTCAGGTTGATGAGAATAAGGATGGATTATAATAAATGTGTTGTTTTGAGCAATTGGCTTAAAGGGTATTTTTGTCAATTTTGGAAAATAAGAAATTTAGAAGAAGGTATCGTGAGTTGCAATTTCAAAAGTATCTATTTTTCTTTGATCTTTTTGGATTCTTGGTGGGATAATATTTTGAAGAATAGAGATTGTTGGATGCGAATTCAAGAACAAGGTCTGATTGTGATTTTTTTGGATAATGAGGAGGATTGGATTTTTTTATCTCAGGCCTGCTATCGCATGATCATATGGAGGGAGGGATACTTGTGATTTGGAGATTTTTATTACTAGGATGGGAGAATTTTGGGTCAAGGGCATATTGGGTATATCCTAATTTTTGGTGAGTTTCGTTTCTGGTCGGAAGAGATTGCTGGTCGGTATAGGGTGAATAGTACTTGGGATTTTTCTTTTAATGGAGGTTTAAGTGGTGAGGGCATTTTGGGAATTTCTTTTTTCCTCAATGAATTTTCGGGTTGGAGCGATCTGATTGTTGGTTGGATTGCTGTGCATATTAATTGCTTTCGTGTATTCGATTTCCTTTTCATATATTCTTCTGGGTTTTCTTATTATCGGAAATGGTGGGAGTTCTTTTTTGACTGTTATGAGAAGAAAGGTGTGATGCAATTTAATCAAAAAAAAATTTATGGTGGTTTGGACCTGTGATTGGCATTTGAAGATTGATGTTGGGATTGGGAGGCATATTTGGTATTGTTTTGATCATTTGGATGGTGAACATGAGGTGAATAAAAGTTATTGGGTTGTAAATATGGCTCACGGTGTTCGATTTTTTAGGAGTTTAGGTTTTTCTGGTCCAAGTGTATCTTGTCTTTACCACGAACAAATTTCCTTGGTTAACAATAATTGTAGTTTTACCAATATTTGC